TTGGACATTATTTCAAATCAATTAACAAAATATCCTATAATAAGACATGTCAGTTTAGGCTGCAAAGGTACTCTTGATAAAAAAAAAACATTCAGATGCACACTATACCAGGAGTCAGGAGATGAATGGATTTGCACTGCAGAGTATTGGCATTTAGTTAGTAAAACAGGGGTTCACCATTTTATCATGAACATGGTTCCTTGATGTAAATGATTGAACCTCTAGTTCAGTGTTTTTCCACTCCTCACTCTTCACAGTTTTTGAGTTTTTTGTTTTCGAGTTATACAATGACAAACATTTTATTATAAGAACACACAATGTCATTGATGTGGGAAGGGAAAGCCATATTCTTACCCCTGGCAAAGACCTATGCAAATGTATCTGCACAATTGTTGCTGTTAGGAGTGTGATAATGGGCGCTGGGGTTGCAAACAGTGTAAAAAACTTGTCTAAAACAGGAAAGGAGAGCTTTGATTCAGGGTATTCAGCAATGAACCTGCTTCATTTCCCACATATAACAGTGACCTGAAGATTACTGATGCATACAATCATCTACATATATTGCAACATTGACGTAAAGAAGTTTATTCATCAAGCTGCATTGGCTGCAGTGGAATGTAACCTATTTTGCAGATAATAGGGCCTGATTTGATGGGTTGTGATGAGGGTTGAACAAACTCATAGAAATTATGAGTTAATTAGATAGATTATATCGTCTAAAAACACTAATGAGATATCAATACTTGAGAATCAAGAGTATGGCCATAATTGTGTGTCAGCCCTGATGGAAAATGGAGACTCTCGGTGAGCAACAAACTGAAGTTTGACCCTGGGAGTACAGCTGTCAATGCAAACTATCACATAGCACCTTTAAACAAGTATGATTTACATATACAGTTGTCTATCACTGAGTTTTCCCACTGATCTGCAAACTAACCTCCCCACTTGTTCAATCAAGATTCTTTTGGTTCAATCAAGATTCTTTTCATTAATTCTACTTTCATTCAGTTTGTCAACTCCAGCCTCTCTTTTTCTCTTCCAATGATGAGCACATTTGCATACTTAAAGCAGAAAAAGAAAGTGGATAACAGGATCGGACAAAAGCTTCAGATCCACCTGTCAAAATGTTCTGTCTGTATTTTTACAGGACTTTCAGTCCAAATCACTTGATCAATCAGCTGTACCATCCTCATGTGCAAGCATGTAGATGTAGAAATATGGCACAGACAATATGCCAGCAATAAATGTTTCATCAGTGATGGAGCCTGACTGCGGAAGCCTCTGCAGAAATGATTCTCCTTTTCTCCTTCCTCTCTCTCTGTTTTGTGAGACCTGCAATTGATTTATAATGAAAAGAGCAGGAGAAAGAACAAGAATTAACCACATTAATTACATTAACTTGTGCTAAGGAGCAGCCAGAAACCACGTGGATATGTAATACATGATATCATGTATCCTTGTACTGGAGGAGATTATTTTTTACGATCTCGTATAAGCTATTTACTGTGTCCTCTCTTTATTAATACACTTCCATATTAAAATGAATGAGGTGGGTGGATTTTGAAATGAATTGGCCTATTTATTTGATTGTGAATAATAATTTACTAATGATACCTCAAGGCCCAGAAAACCAGGTAGAATTTAAACATCTCCATCGGTAGAAATGCTGCAATTTGTCTTTTATTGATGTATACAATAAATACGTCACCAAAGTGGTTTGAATTTGAGCACTTTAAAAAATTACAGCTCTAAAAATATTGAAGCACGCATTGCTATCTCTCTGGGCGAACATATTTTCTATCAATCAGTCATCTCTGGTGGAAAGTACAACGTTCCACCTGCTTTGCTCAAGTCCCTTTGCTGCCAGCCATTCTGTTGAGTTTATTAACCATGTCCTATGAATGCACAGAGCTACCATGCTACTGCAATTACATAAATGACTTTGACAGTTCAGGAGTCAGGCAGCATTATATTTACAGAAAGAACACGCTGACACTTCATAGATCTAATAGGCTGTAATAAGAGAGAAAACCCTGTGTACTTAGTAACCATGAATTATTAATTTGAAAGGAGAATAAGACAATAACAAAATCTGCTAGGTTACATTATGTAACTCCAGACTGAGTAGACTTAGTCAGCTCCAAATCATAAATCAATGCTGAAGACTCTTCTGTTTGCCACAGATTTCTATTTAATCAAGTAATCACTCTTTTATTTTGTATTCTATTTGTGTATCCTTTTAATTTGTAATAAATTATTGATTTCTTTGAATGCTTTTTTTATTGTCTCGTGTTGTTTTTAAAATATGTCATGATGACTTTTGTATTTTAAGTAAAGCACTTTGAATCGCCATGTTGTGGTATACAAATAAATGTACCTATCATTGCCTTTTCAGGTAAGAGGCTCTATAGGATTTTAACCCTGTAAACACACCAACACCTTAAGATTTACGTTCCAATGGCACAATCACTGCCAAAGTGAGCCTCAACCCTTCTTTAACCTTAGCCTTATCATAACCTCCCGTGGAGTTAGTAAGTAAAACGTTTCTGTTCATTTTAAACACATTTTTCCACTTGAAAATAAAACAGCCTCAGGTTCTTCATAAAATTCACTGCTCACTGTGATTGTCTGTTATAAAACCCGACAGTGAAGGCTTTTCGAGAGAAGTTGAGAAGTTGTCACAGTTGTAGTTGCTCTGATGACACGCCACTGACAGATGAACTATTAACACATACAACTCCTGGCTCTGCTAAACATGTTTTAGTTTGCTGATTTCTAACAGTAGTTGAAGCTTCGCAGCATGAAACTGTTCATTTTACTATTTTTGTGAATAAGAACTTCCCATTAATGAAGTGGAACACGTTGCCTTTTAAGGCAATTTTAGGGTCATCAATTTTGCTGCATGATCACATTTCATACGAGCTTTCTCATGAGAAGATGGTATTTATTATTCTGAAACAAACTATTTACAAAAGGTCTGTGATTTTATCCCACTTTAAATTCTCACATGAGCAAACCTCACAGGAAAGTACAGTCAATAATACAAAAAATGCCCAATGGACATAATAAGGACTATTGTGTGTGGTTAGATCCATGCTACTTGTTTGCAGTAGCACTTTTTAAAACATGATTGATCATGTTACAAAAGTGATTGGTTGCACTGTTTATTTAAAATGTCCTTTCCACTTGTATTCAGACAGGCCAGTCTCTTTAGTTAAAGGCCGCAGAAACAATTCTAAACAATTTTTCAGAACTTTGAATTCGGAAAAAATATATTGTGGCGTTAGACCACGCCACCGGGTTCCCCCCACGACAGCCAGAGACGGACCAGTCCAACCATTGTGTGGTTACCAACATCTTTTATTAAGGTCAACAGAAACTTACAAATCATGGAACTTAAATGGTCCAGCACTATTTGCTGGACCTTCAGCTTCAGTCTTTTCCCCTGTGTCTCTCGAG